AAAGACCATTAGGAATTTTATGCTTCATATTGATTTTATATGAGAGTCATGTAAAAAAATGGAGCAATCAATGGACAGAAGGAACAGGGATCCTGCAAAGACACGCACAGTGTTCACAGAAAAGTAGTCTTTCACAGACAAATTTCATATTTTTAGTAAGTCCTTGATATAGCCAAGTATTTTGAGGGCTCCCCTAACATGCTCCTCTCTCTTTCTCACCCTCTCATTGAGGACAAACTCCTTTCTAGTTCGCCACACAACACATATACTGTGGAAAATATGAGCCAGTGGTTACATTACATGTATTAAACAATCTGCCTGGCTTCCAGTGGAAATTGTAATGGTGGGAAACCCTGGAAAAAGGGTTTTCTAAAAAAGCAGTTTCCTAAGACAGGAAAGATTGGGAATTTTAAGTGGATAGATGAGCACATATCAGAGCCACCTGCTTTTGCTCACCTGTACTATCAGATCCAGCCACCTGATTTTAAAAATGCACCCAATGCCTTCACAGCATTGCAGAAAAAATATCACGAGAACTTCTTTTTCAGAAAAAAAAAATCAAATATCAGGAAGAAAATCTTTTCTTTGGGGCAAAAGGAAAAGCTTCAGATTTTACATCGAAACAAACTCTTTTAGGCAGTTCCAGCACAGAGTAAAGAGAAACGCTAAGGAAATGATAATAAAACAGTGGGATGAAAAACAGTGAGAACAAAGAGTGATTTGCTGTTCCCCTTCACAGAAACAGCTCGTTTGGATGGGAGCTAATTAGGAACAGGCAAAAAAACTCTTCATGATTTTGCCTGGGAGGTTATTTTTTCTAAATGCCTTGAAAGGCAAATATCATCAGGCACTGTGATGTTCACGCATGGCTACATGTGTTAAATATTAAACTAATCTGAAAACGAAGACAATATGCAAACAAAGGCCCAAATTATTCAATTAGCAATTCTCCCCCTCCATTCGGGCACTGAAGGTTTCTGGAGCTGGGGGAAGTGGTCAGAGCGTGGCTTTGCTGGCTTAGCAAAAACCAGGACTTTTTGGGAGGGTTTAATCCCATGCCCTGAAGAAGTCGGGTTTTCACAGAGCTGGAAGTCATTGTCTTAAAGGGGAAAAAGAGTGAAAATGTGCTGTTCAAACACTTCCCCCCTTCGGATGCCCACAGAGCACTGTCAGTCTGTGCATCAGTTCACAGGGCCTCACCAGGGCTCTGCAAGGGAATACAAATAGCAGAGAGCTGCCTATTTACTGTGAGAGCAGAGTGTGGGGTGATGGAAGGAGCCACGGAGCCCAGTGAGGCTTTAACAATAACATCCACATGGCAGAGCCCAAACAGCCCCAGCTCAGTTCTCCATCATCCCCATCCAGGTGGGCTGATGAGCAAAAGTGCCCTGTACTCCCTCAGCAAGTGTTCAGAAAGTGTTTTCCCCTCCTGCTCTGATTTTATACCCTTCAAATTCAAAAGATACCTGGCCAGTACTTGCTGCTGTTTTTCCTTGAGGGGAATAATTCACCAGAGCCACCTCACCACCCTGTGCTGCTCAGAGTGACCTACCACAATGTCACCACAGCTGATGGCTCAAAATGTGCACACTGTGTCATTTTTGGTGTTTTTTTTTTTCCCTTTGGCAGAATACAGCATTTCAGCTGCAGCCATTGCCATCTTCAGCGTTGGCTTCGCGATCATCGGGACGATCTGCGTCCTCTTGTCCTTCAGGAAGAAGAGGGACTATCTGCTGAAACCAGCATCCATGTTCTACACCTTTGCAGGTACAGGGTGGGCGCTCCCATTCTTGCACTTGGGTCATGGGACAACACAGGGAAACTTAAGATGGATCTTGGGGGGATGGAGACACTTCTAAAAATGCCCTGAAAATGGCATTTCCTTCCCGATCCCTGGGTGGTATGAGAACATCCTGCTCAGCGAGCATTGCCCAGTCTGTGTTTTCTCCAACTCTCTTTAAAAGGGATATTTCTACCACAATCACTGCCAACCCCAGTCTGAACCAGAGATATACAATATTCAGTCTCATTTGTTAAGCCTCAAACCAAAGAAATGGCTGATCCAGGCCCAAAACACACAGCTGTGCCATGAACACATGAAGACTTGTGTTTTCACATGAGCCAGGAATACCTTGACATGCCGCAGTGAGGGAAAGACAGAGGTGCAAATTGTCACCTCAATAAAAACCTTACTCAACCTCTGGAAGAGCTCCCCAGGGAATGCAATTATTCCTCCTCCACTTTGAGTTTCCCATCCAAGATCACACTCACCAAGTCACCAGCTGACCTGGGTTAGAGCAGAGCTCTCAGCAGTTCTGAGCACTGGTTCCTCCCAACACTGGAGTCAGTGACTCACCTGTGACTCTCACTGCAGCTCCTGCATGGAAACGACACACGAGGTGGTTAATTAAGGGATGAAAAACTGACAGCTGGTTCCTCAACCCACTGCTCCTCTCTTCCCTTCAGGTCTCTGCATCATCATCTCCGTGGAGGTGATGAGGCAGTCGGTGAAGAGGATGATCGACAGCGAGGAGACCGTGTGGATCGAGTACAGCTACTCCTGGTCCTTCGCCTGCGCCTGCGCCGCCTTCGTGCTGCTCTTCGTCTGCGGCATCGCCCTCCTCCTCATCGCCCTGCCCCGCTTCCCCCAGAACCCCTGGGAGACCTGCATGGATGCAGAGCCCGAGCACTGATGCTCCCAGCACGGGGAAAAAAAAAATACAGAAAGTGTTCTGAAAAGATTTGTATTTTTTAAAATGTCTGGGTCCCACTCAACAATGTGCTCTCCATCAAGTGAGTCATTACTGAACCAAGGCATGTTCGATTGTAATTATTGCTTTCCTTTTCTTTTCCTCTCATTATATCCTTTTTTTCCCTCTTTTTCTTTTTTCTCTTTCTCTTTTTTTTCTTTTTTCTTTCTTCTTTTTTTATTTTTTTTTTGAAGAAACAGAAAGAGCTCTCAGCACCATCCTGGGTGTGGGTGAATGGCACTGCTCTGTGCCAGTTTGGGGTGCCCTGTGCTGATGTAGCTGAGACAGCTCAGGCCACAGAGGACACAGCTTTGCTAGGGAGATGTTTGGTGTGGTTGGGTGAAGATTTGTGAGGGATATCAGGCTTTTATACATTACTTGGTCAGAGAGAGACATTGAGAAACTCTGGCTCCATGAGGAGTCCATGTCCCCATTTGTGCCGTGCTCCTCTCCCTCCCTAAGAAGGGTTAGTTCATCACTCTGGACTAAGCTGGAGATCCTTATTAAACTGCTAAAATTTGAAATGAAATCAAAACAGAACTTTTGAGTAGCATTAGGATAAAATTTCCCCTCCAAATTTACACCCTGCGGTTCCATTCTTTTGAATCAAGCATAAAATCCCACAAGATAAAGAGTTTTTTTTGTTCTGCTTAAACTTCAGCGGCAAAGCCAAGAAGTATTAAACATTAAGAGTGATATTTTCCTTTAATAAAAAGCATAATCTTCCAGTAGCATGATTTTCTGGAAAATTATTTTGATGGATGAATCACTTGGCCCATCAAATTCTGCCGGGTCCAGAACAACACTGTAATTCTGGGTGGTGTTTGCACGGGGCTCTCATTAGTTCCCCCTGAATGGGCTTTTTAACAATACCCTGCTTTGCTCACTGTATCTAAAACTACATTTCAGGAAAAATCCTTCAAAGCAGCTGCCAAGATGGAAAGGACTTTGCCTGGAACACCCAGGAGAGCCAGCCCTGGAAGCACCTCACTGGTGCATTGAGTTGATGCTGCTTGAAGCAGCGCAGACCCGAGGCAGTGCTGGGGGATGCTGAGGGGGCTGGTTTGCTGCTGAGCCCCTGCAGGGCTCTGCCACAGCTGCCTGAAGCACTGGGAGAACTGGGGGGCCCCCAGCCTGGCCACCTGCAGCACTGGGGGTCCCCCAGCCCCACACACTCACCCAGCCCCTCCAGCCAAGCCCATTTCACCATCACAGTCCCTCAGCACCAGTCATCCTTCTTTTTTTTTTTTTTTTCCTTTTTTCTTCTTTTACAGCTCAATTTTCAGAATCTGCTCAGCATTTTCTCCCCCAAGCAGGAAAAAGTACACGGTTTACAGTGGACATTTTTCAACCTGTAATTTAAAAATCAGGAGAAAAGGGAATTAAATGTCCTTCCCTCCACGTTCAGCTGTCCCCAGTCCCAAAGAAAAACAGAATTCATAACAGAAAATCTCTGATCAATTTGAAGAGATCTGAAATCATGACATGTTCAAGCATTTGGAGAAATTCCCCAGCAATTAAGTGCTGGCCTGAGGGGCCCCACCATCAGCCAGACCCCGTTGGGGTGCACTGAGCCCCAGCAGCCCCAGCCAGACTCAGGCTTGTCTCCATCTCCCCATCAGCAGCGTGGCAGCGAGAACAGAAGCCTTTTGTGAAGTTGCATTAATGTTTTTCAAGCTCTTTGAAGTTGAAAAGCACTACAAATAACACATATATTATGAAGTTTTGGGATGAAGCATTCACTGGTGCTCAGATGTGAGTGTGAGCTGAGGAGCTCTGCCTGTCTCTCATTATGAGAGACAACTGCAAGTCTTCAAGTTGTCACAGAGCCACTCTGAAATGCTAAATGGTTTTGAAATCTTATTTTTGGGTACAGAGCTGACATTCTTAATTTGCATTTTCATTGTTCAGGAAAACAGAGGCTAGTTTCTAGGGAGATCCTTTACATGCAACAACAGAAAGGAAAGTAGTTGGTGTGACCCTGCGGTGGCTGACCCTGGGCTGGGACATCCCAACCTACACAAGGCAGGTTAATCCAAGCAGAGCAGCTGGTAGGCACAGCAGCATTCCCAGCTCAGCCATCATCACCACCTGAGACATGCCAGGGCTTGAGATAAGCAAAGTTTGGGGACCTGGGTCTAAGTTCCTCACGGCACACGGAGCAGTGGCACGTCCTGCGCCCCTGGGAAGCACCTTTCCCAAAGTGCCATCCCTCTCCTGCAATGGTGCTTCTGGGAATAGGGTTGGGCCAATTTTTTGCCCAGCCAAGATGCTGCTTGGTCCCCCTCATGATATTGAAGAGCAAGACATGAACATTTGAGATAAACACCCCCTGGAAGGTCTCCCCCATCTCGTGCACACACCCACTTGCGTCAGGGCTGACCCGCTTCATCCGAGCCCCAGTGAGGGCAATGGAAAGATTCCCAGTGAGTGCTGGGGTTTGGCCTGGACCCAAGGTTTTACAGCCTCTCTGGGCTCACTTTACTCATGAGGCAGAGAAAACACACAGCTCCCGGCAGCAAGATCCTCCACCCACAGCCAGAGCTCAGGCAGCTCAGCGAGATGCCTCCTAAAGCCTTTAAACTCACAGAGCTTTATTCTCCTCCCGCTCCAAGCTGAGGCTTTGTGATCATTCCCTGCTCCATATGGTCCCTGCCAGACTTAGAAGCACATGGATGGCTTCATTTTCTTCTTCCTGATATTAAGAACTGCTGAAGAGGGACCTGTCCATTAAATTGGTCATTGGTATTCACAGTGGGAAAGGCACTGCTCCTGCAGCAGGTTCGTTCTGCCACATCGAAACCTCTCTCCCAGAGAGCTGATAATGTGTTTTGAGACTTAATAAAAGTAATTGGTCTTCATAAAGGAAAAAGAATATAATGTTGGAGGGGGGAGCTGTAACCGGCTTCAGTTTTCATTCTCTCAGCTGAACAAAGAGCAGGGAACGGCCACCAGAACTTCAGGAATGCACCAGGAAACGTGAAAGAAACTTTCTCGCTGGCAGGGAGTCATCAGAGCCAAACAGGGGTGGGGACCTGGCTGCTGCACATCCTACAGGAGCACACGTGGGCTTGGGACATGGCCAAAGAACTGAGTGGGAAACACAGCAGAGAGAGGGAGAGGTGAACTGATTTGCAGAACAAGTGACAACCACCAGCTACCAAGAAACACTGAGTGTTGCTCCTGCCACCACCAGACCCACAGACCCCTTTGGTCCATTTGCCAGTCCACAAACCAACATCCCTGCCCAGCCCTTCCCTCAGGGCACCCACGCTGTGGTGCCCCAGGGAGAAGAGACACAGGGCTGTGATTCTGGTCACTGAACTCTGCCCATCACCCTGCAAAGCCCGAGTGTTAAATCACAGTCGACGCAGCAGCAGACGCGAAGTTTTCTGTTTATGGAAGGTTTGCTGTGAGGCGTGGAGAGAATCTGCTTCCCTCGTCTTTAAACGCCGTGTTGTGTGAATTTAATGTGCAGAAAAGGTGTCAGACAAACAACCCCGAAGAAGAAAACTGCCTGTTTAGCAAGCAGTGAGCTGAGCTCTCCAACACCCTTCATCTGCAACGAGGTACTGCAGGAACAGCCCGGCACCGACAGCGTGGGGAACCAAGAGCTCACCAGGGAGCTCACATGGGGGTGTGCAGAGAGGATTTCACCCACAAGTCCTGGTACAAACCCCTATTTCTCCCTTAGTCCATGCCTGAAGAGAGGCAGCATACACAGGATGCTCAGGGGTTTGACCATGCAGTTTACAATGGCACAGGTGGACTCACCTATTGGTTTTTTCACTGATCCCTTTCCATTTTGTCGCTTCCTTGTGGCCATCACCTCTTTCTCCTCACTCTGATAGTCGTGGAAGTGATTCCCAGAAAGTCCCAAAGATCTGGGAACTCTCCCCCCTGCAATAAGACCCCTGGCCCTGCTGCAGAGGGGCCCTTTCTCTCCTGGGCCTGACAGCTCTTGAGGAACATACCTGATACACGAGGTCATCAACACCAGGAGATGCTGTTTGCCAGCCCCAGGGGATTAACACCAAGCCCCTGGGCTCCATCCAGCACTGCAGTTGGACAGTCACATGCCAGGAACCTGACCATGGACAGAAATTTACAGAATAAACCTCAGTCAACTTCATTTCAAACAAGCTTCCACTTTCCAGGGTGGGACAGTGCCCCTTGGAACACTGTATCACTTTATAACCTAACTCCAGGAGCATTGGGCTGCTCTGCACCATAACCCACCCACAGCAATGGCACCTGCTCTAAAAGCATCCCTTCCAATTATTTCCCCTTTCCACTGTCACCAAGGGGCAGGAAAAGAGCGTCATGACTTTGTTTGGACTGAAGAAGAGGATGAGATTGTTCTTGCTTTGTCAGCCCTGATGGATGTTCTGGCTCCGGTGAAGCTGCTGAACATAAATCCAAGACACACAGACATCACACGTGCACACCCTGCATCCAGACACTGAGCTGCTCTGCTGCTCTCTAGGGAAATGCAGAGGAGGGAATAAACTGGGATTTCTGGGCTACTTTCTATGTAATAGGAAGGGCTGCACCCCTGGCTCTGGTTCAGCCTTGTGCCCAGTATCACCAGTTCTCGCTGGGAGCACCACCACGGCTTTACAGCTGGTCCTGTGGAGGTATTTACCCTCCAGGAGGGAGCCAAGTCTTAGGGAAAAGGGACTGACAACATCTTCTAACCAGTCTTGGGTAATTCAGATCACAGAGCGTGTTCTGTAATTTGTCAGCAGCATCTATTAATCCTTAATGAGGTAAAAACTCCTCAACCTCTCTCGACTGAAGTTGCCAAAAGAAAAAAAACCCCACACCGAACTGACATTTCCACACTTCTGCTGTAAATTCTTTACTTCTCCTGAATGGAAGAAAAAAACAAATTCAGAAGGATTCAATCCTTGCTCTCTGACACAGCTAACAAAGAGAGACTGGCTCAAGTATTGCTACACCAACAGAAATAGCCCATATTTCATGTCAGGGAATACGATGTGCGAATTTTTACAGGCACCATAGATCATCGCCATCTGTCTTGACAAGTTAATTGTCTGCAGTTTTTCTAGGAAAACCAGAAACTTTTTTAAAACTAACAAAACAAATGAGTTGAACAATGATATGGGCAGAGCGTCGTGGGCTCACTGCCCTGGAAATGTCCAGGTTCTGATATGTCCGAGTTCGGTCTGAAAAGGAAATTTGGAGTGGTCAAACACTGCTCCTGGTGCCACTTATAGCACTGAGGTACCACACACACAGCAAAAGAATTGCTTAGAGAGCATGATCTCTGCAAAAAAACCAGCTGAACTCCATAAATCTGGGAACAAAACAATAATTAATCAAAGTAGGGAACGGTACTCACAGGGTTTGTGGAGTCAGTGGCAGGATTCACATCCTGCAAAGGGCCACACAATTAAAAAACCAGGACAAACTGTATTAGATGACAACCTCCCAGCTGCTTTTTTCCCTAAGTGGCTTTTTAAAGGATGGAGGCTCTATTTGAAATTAAAAAAAAAAAAAAGTTTCATTTTTTTAGAGCCAAATAATTTCTTTTTAAAATCTTTCTCTCCATCCTTTATTATTTCTTACCACCACACTGAAACCTCCCATGAGGCATCCAGATTTTTCTCATGATAAACTGAAATTAAAGAAAATAAACCCAGAAATTATTCTTGGTGTTAAATACCAGCTTTCTAAATTTAGATCCTCATGATCCTGTCGTTTAAATATTCCACAGACAACAATGGGGAGTTTATTCTCAAACCAAAATGGGATTTAGCACTAACTGTACTATTAAGTGTAAAAAAAAGTCAAGGAGCCAAATACCCTTTTGGTGTAGATGCCCAAACCCCCGTTATTTTCCTCCAAATTGAGACATTTTATACAAACCAGACTCATAATTTTGAATTCTCCTTGTAACTGCAACAGCTCCATATTTACAGTGCAGCCTGAGCAGTGCCCACTGGAGCCATCTGTAAGTCTTAATTTCATTTTAATAAGAGTGTGATTAAAGCCCTAGGAGAGTTTATAATACACTTTGGGGGTTTTCTACACATGACTTCAATAAACATTGGATAATTTGCTCTAAAACCCAAAGATCCCACTCAGGACTATATACATGTGACATACAATGGCCAGACAAGACATTTCCAAAGAAATAATCTTTTGGAAAAGAAACCTCACTCTAAGAAATTCAGTGATTCATGTCAAAGCTGAGAGTCACAAGCTCTCTGCCATTCCATCCTCAGACTCCTGAGTGAGAGCACTTAGGAAAACATAGCACCAAAAACAGCAGGGATTTTCATAAAAGAAATTGTAACTCAAGAGAGGAAATGCTCCTTTCTCCATAATATTTTCAGTGTAGATCAAATGCTGGTGTAAAACAGAATAAAAGTGGTGAGATGTGACCATCTCCCTTTAACTGATGGACAGAGAGCAGTAAATTAACAAGTGACGTTTATTAGTTTAAAATTCAAATGTGGTGAACAGAATCAAAGGACTGCTCCATAGAAAGGAGTGATTTTGGAAACCTCTGAAATTCCAAAGCATTTGAGGGGCATTTGAACCCTACCTGTCCTCTGCCACAGCCTGCACAGCCCACCAGGGACTCTCCACAAGGTCCGGGCACACGGATCTGTCTCTCCAAGCGGTGCCAGGTGCTCCGTGGAGGAGAACTGGCACAGTTCTGCCAAAATAAGGAGTCTGAGGCAACTTCCACTGGCCCCTGCTGATGGATTTCCCATTTCTGTAGCCGTCAGCTTGGCAAAAACCCACTGAACAGGAGTTTTGCTTGATTCAAGGTTGCAGAATTTGGCCTCTCTACTCATTTTTGGGTCCTCTGGATTTGATGGTGCTGAAGGGATAAAAGCCCAACTTGGCAGGGGCTGTCCTCTCCCCCTTGTTTGGTACAGACATTAGGAAATAAATTAACAAGTTATGTGTGATTTGTTTCGCAGCAAAAAGAAGGAAAAAGGTTTTCAGATAAGTTTCTGAACCATAAGCCAGCGAAGATTTATAATAAAAAAATTCATATGCAAGCCTCTGTGGTGCAATGAGTTTAAATCAACCCCAGTTCATAAAGACCCTTGTCTTCAAACATGAAGCCAAATGTAAAAAAATAAACCTGACTGTAACCAGAGCAAAAATCTGATTGAACCAGGAGCAGCCACTGCTCCCCAGTGAGCTGAAATCACCCCCACACAGCTCGAAAATTTCCATTTCCACAGGTAACAAGTGGAGGAATCCTTCTAACTACACCCAGCTCATCCCTGTAAAACAGTTCCCAGATTTAAAGTTATTTCAACTGTAAAAGGAGAAAAAAAAAACAAACCAGGAGAATCTCTCCAACCCCCCTCTGGAGCTCCCCAGCCTCAAAGCAGGGACAGAGTGTGCAAGGCCAGAAATCTTTCTCCACAAAGTTTATCTTCTGAGGTTTTGTTCACACTTGGTTTCTTTAATTTTTTTTGTTTAATATCCCATCATTAATTTTTTTCAGCCTGTAACTCCTGAAGGGTCAGGTTCTTGGAGAACTTCACAGAGCTCACATAGATAAATAACCTGGTAACCACTCTGATCCCCAGAAGGTCTCGATTAATTTGGATACAGCTTTGACAAACATTAAATCTCTTCTTTAATGATGTTCCTCAAACAAAACAGTTAGCAAAATATCTGAATTTCCTTGTATAATGTCACATTTTAATGTAAACATCAAATAATGTACCAAAAGTTTTACCGGAAAAAAAAAAAAAAAGAAAACAAAACCCCAAAAAAAAAAAAATTAAA